GAGTATAGTACTACCCCCCAACTTATGGATGATTTTATGGATTTAATTTTACTTAGTATACTTGAATAAATACGGTAAGTTTCTCTGAAACTGCAAGATCTCAGAGTATATATTTTAAAAAATGGGCATTGCTAATCAACATACCTACTCTCATCCTGTTTGTCTGGACTGAAAAGGAAAGAACAAAGAGGCTGTTTTATAGCAGAACATGCAAACCACTGAAACAAACGTGAGGCCTGGTGTGAACAGCAGTCCATTGCTTGTTTTTCTCCTCCGTGCAGTTGGATTGTGTGCAGCTCAGCTTACCAGAGGGGACGTTAAGAGTATCGTAATAGCTGTTGCTGAAGGACAATGTATGTTTTTTTTTCTTTGTGATTTTTCAGCGAGACTCAAGCTTCTTACTGGACAATCAAACATTGGTAAGAACACCTGAAATTATGTTGAATATCCTGTCATTATTATATAAGAAGGTATATTCCCTTCATTAAAATCTATTTTTTTATCATTGTGTCCATCACGTGTGATATTGGGAGTAAATTGCATTTTGATTTGACTAAATGTAACTCTGAGCAGCACAGTTACCATTTTCARGGATGGGAATAATTGAACCCTCAAAATTAGACATTTGTATAGGGCAGTAAAGCGGATTTAAAAAAAGAAATCAAAAGAAAATACGTATCTAGTTTACATGCAAGGTTGTGACTGACTTCACCAGTGGTTCAATAAATCAGTGGCATTAATGACATATTTTTACCAAAGTGAAAGAAACTTGAACATTACTAATGCATACAGGCATTTATTACCATATTGAATGCCCCTTATCATGGGTAACAAGAAAAAAATACTGCTAAATGACTCATTCAGGAAAATATTTCATTTTACCTCTCAGATGTGAATAAAACATTGAATTGACATTCTGTAATAAGTGGATATTAGAATGACAAATTAGCTTGAAGAGTGAGAGTTCAAATGAATAATTTATCTGTATAAACAGCTCCTACTCAAGACTTTGTAAAGAAGTTTACGTGTCTTGAGTTGCATTGCTTTACAAAAGACAGTTTCTATAAAATGGAACTCCGGATCACTGCTCTTTGTGTGAAAAGCAGTCAATTATTAATATGCCAGTCATGAAAGGGAACTTGACTGATAAGTGAGTATAATGCAGTGCTGCATGAAAGAATGGAGAAATAGGTCAAACAATGAAGAAAATAAAGTCAGCAGAATGCTCTGATAGGAGCTGCAAGCCCTAAAACTGGCATGTAAGAAGAAAAGATTAGTAAAACTGTGCAGTTCTACTCTAAATGCCTTGGTAAAGCTTTATTATAAATTACTGTAACTGTTAGAAGGAATAATTTTTTTTAAGTTACTGACATACTTTTAACAGCAGCTGTTATTTACAATGTGTACTGTTTGAAATACTCAAATAGTGATGTTTTACTTGGAAATGTAAAGTTTCAACTAGATTATTTATATATACAGTATATATAT